GGAAGCTCTGTCGTTCTGCTTGAAGAAGAGAGATATGATTCTTTTGTATTCATGTTTTAATTTGAAGAGAAAAGAAAGGGGGATGTGTATAGCTGCTACGATTTACGCACAAAAAAATAATTAGAATAAGGGAGAAAGAGTATGATTAGAATTGATACTCCTATTTTGGGAATAAAAAACATAAGGTCCTATTATGAAATTAATCTTCTGTTTTACTCCCATTCAGAGCAATTACTTCGTAATTATTGTTAAGCTGTAAAAAATCTGGTAACTACTTAGTAATTAAATTTCTGGTAATTATTCATAAAAAATCTGTTTCTATTATTTATTAATCACTAATGTTAAGTTGTAACATATTAATCCGCATCATCATTCAACTACTTTGATTCATCTTTTCATCAATCATCTATCAGACCAATTTAGAACTGACCAGATCATACCAGAAACTTTGAGACCAAACTTAGTGTTACACAATTTTATAAGAAAGTGACCTTATGGACACCTACACAGTGTTATTAATGGGTCTAAAGGTCCAATTCTATAAAAGGCTAATAAATAAATGGTACATAATAAGAATCATAATAGTAAGGCTCAAATGAAAATCTTAACTCTCAAGGCATGTAAGTACGTACATGAAGTATGACTGTATGACGGGCGGAGGTAGGGGGTCATGCCAGCCCCCAACCCAGATCGCTCTAAATTTTAAAAAACTAGTATCTTTACCTGTGGACGGGATAAAATGATTTTGTTATTTAGTTTTTTTACTAACGAAAAATCACCTTTTTAGTCGATTATAACATTGATTTAAAATGTATATTCTAATTTATAATTTATTGAGTATGCATTATTTTTGAACTAACTATCTAAACATGTTTCAGACTATATTTTTCAATGAATAAAGCATATTTTTTATAACTCTCAAGAGTATGCATTACTTTTGAACTAATTATCTAAACATATTTCAGACTATATTTTTCAATGAATAAAGCATATTTTTTATAACTCTCAATTGCATCCAATTGAAATTAATCTATTTTTACCTAAAAAAAAGAAATGTTCAATGTCTATTGTTATCCATTAAACATCATTCGTGGCTCACTGTTTTTTCCAAAACTAACTACACATTTTTGTAACTTATTTATCTAAAAATGAGTCAAGTCAATTTTTTAAAGATATTAGCCCTTCTATGTTTTTGAATTTTTCAAATTAGTCTTTTGATCTATTTTTTTAAGAAAGAGTTTAGAATATATAGTTTTGTGGCGTTCCAATTTTAATGAAGGCGATGGTGGCAACAATAGACTGCATATTGTGATTGGTAGCGATCAATTTATTTTTCGTTAGATTGAGTTATTGAAAGTATAAATTATCTTATTAAGTGAAATAAGTGTTATTGAACGAAAAAAGTTGCTTTAGATTTTTAATAGACAATTTTAATCTAGAAGGTAATGATTACTTTAAATATATTTGTTCGGGTTAGAATTAATATTATTGTTTTACCATACATCAATTATTATATCTTAAAGAGACACTAAGATCTATTAGGGTTCGCCATTGCACATATAATGGATATCTTCGATATTATTGTTTTACTCATAAATATTTTTAAAATATGAATAATTAAATTAATAATAAGCTAATTTAACTTTGTATGGATATCTCGATCACTTTTGATTGTATAACTCCTTACTAAGCTAATTAACTCCAAATTTTACTCATAAATATTATTAGAAGATTTATTGAATTCTAATCTAACATATACGAAGTCCTAAATTTATGAAGGACTCCATCAAAAACATTTTTAATTGGATTGATCTTTTTGTCTGATTTGTCAGTTCTAATCAGATTTGCCTTGATCTGTATGATCTAATCTGGTTAGGTCATATTTCTGTGCATTTTTTAACTCTTTTTTCCAAACAAATTTACCTCATCCAACTAACAATATTGATGCAACAGCATTTCAAATTTCAAATTTAGATAATTCTCTGATTCAGACAATGACCTTTAATTCAGATATTTGCATCCACCTACATTTCAAAAGTGTCAAACATAAGTCTAATCTATGAGCCCATTTGGATATTGAATTTTTGTTACTTAAATAATGTATACATATTTTTTGAATTCTAATCAAACACGACAAAATTTTCATAATTCTTAATTGTATTTTTAAAATTATTGGAAAAAAGTATTTAAAATAAAACTTTAAAAACTGCTATAGATTTGGAATATACGTAGCTAAAGTTTATTTATAATAGCTTTTCATTACTCATAATATATCACTATGTATAAGCATTACAAAGAATTACTCAAATTACTCCATATTATTTTTTGAATTTTCAAAATACAATTATAAATTATGGAAATTTTGTCGTGCTCGATTAGAATTCATCGAGGATCCAATAAAGTAAAATCTCATGTTTATTTTAATGTTCTTTAACTTTTATTTGTACTCCAATATATTGTTACACAAAATATATCATAAGTCATAACTTTTTATTATTTTTCGTATAATACCAATATTGAATATATAAAATAAAAGATAAGTTAACACTTTAAAACATGTGTTTTATTATTATTTTCATAAGATTTTATAACATATATCATAATTCATAACTTTTTATTCGGAATACATATACATAAAGTTAATTTATAATATTTTTTTATTATCATTTTTTAAAATCTATTATTTTGTGTAATTTATTATTCCTTCCATGTCTGAAAGATCTTTCACGTCTCTAGTTTTTGTTGTTGCAATGTTTCTACCTTTAGCATTGTATCTTTTAATTTAGATTTCAAGGCTTACAGATGTATTTGCAGCTGATGTATATGGTCTGATAATTTCAATCGTTCATGATTATTGATAATCATCTTTACTTTAATATTACATTTTGAAGTTTAGAAATCATTGTTGAAATAGGGTAGGGGTGTACCATAAAGATTCATCTCATTCAATTAGAGAATTCTCTCTCTTCTCTCCCCCTAATAACTGGAAGATCAACTCTCATCAAAGTGACATTCTCTGAGGCGGTCTACACATCATCTGTTATGACCGAGAGTGGGTTATATTGCGCTGTGGGAGGCACATTAGACACAATTATCTAACAACCATATGTATAAGTAGAAAGTCTCAGGTTAAGATCAGGTCACCAACTAGCAGGGGCGGATCCAGGAATGAAGAGTGGGGTGAGCTTAGTAGGAAAAAAATTGTTATTGCAAATAAAAAGTTTAGCTTAGGCTGCTTAGGGCCGTAATCGAATTGAGTTTTTTCGAACTACGCGAATTCGAGCGTGATTTCGAATTTAATTTAGTGATCTGAGGTTAAGAAGCTTTTTTTAACTCGAACACGAGCTAGATTTTGAGTTCGAATAGTTGTTCAAGCTGAGTTCGAGCATAGTGGTATTCGGTTTGATTCGGACTCGAGTCTATTTAAACATTTTCATTGCAATTTTTAAATATATTTGAACACTAAAAATATAGAGTTCATATATCTATTTTATTCAAGCCGAGTTTGAGCATAAATTAAATTAATAATCAAATAAAATTACATAACTATTAAATAAAACTAATGCACTAATAAAACTATTATAATTTTATTATTATTAATAATCATAATTTTAATAATAATAATAATAATAATAGAAATAGTATATGACCAAATAAGGATAGTTGATAAAGAGTAACTTAGTTATTTTAATGATTATAATTATGTTTAAATTTTAATGCTTATAAAAGTTACTCATGGTGACCTGGGTCAAAAAATAGTAATATTCATATAATAATAACAGTATTATAATAATAATATAATATTAATCATAAAATTTATGTTGTAAAATAATATTGTAAACTTGTAATATAAAGTGCTTTCATTGATGGTGTGGGTGAGTGGGTGAGATGAGATTGCATAATTTGCAGCTGGCTCCAAATACAAACTACATACAATTGTTTAATACTCCGTATGTAAAGTTTTGCTCCTCAATTTATCTCACACCGACTGCAACGATGGTTCACCCTCCTGGGTGTCCTATATATAAATCACTTCTTGGTGCAATCACACCAAGCTCTATTATTACGCATCGGGATCATTTATTCTCGGGATCATTTGTTCCCATGACTATGGGCTTTAAATAAAGTTTGGGCAGCCTTTTGCTTTTAGAGCTTCTTAGAACACGTCCTTGTAGACTTGGGGTGAGCTGAGTTTTAATTTTTGGGTGGGCAGAAAATTAAATCTCTTTCTATACTAACAAAAAAAATTGGGTTGGGCTGGGCTAGAGCCCACCCTAGGCCCTACATAGATCCGCCCATGCCAACTAGTATACATAAAAGTGGTTGTATTGTAGCAGTCTAAAAAAGCAAATGTTTAAAAGTGCTTGCAATATTGCATAATCCCCTGGAAATAGTTGTATACTGGTGCACACATAATAGCTGTAATATTCACCATCTACATCCTCTTAGATGTGAGTTTTACTTAGACTTATTTTTCACATTAGATGCGAGATGCTTTTCATTGATCTTGATAAATATGCAAAACTCATCAAGTACTTTTGATGAGAACTTTCTAGCGGTAAAAAACTTTCTATGAATAAATTTTTCGTAGAAGTTTTGCAGATGCAAATCTTTATGTGACGATAAGACAGTTAGCATTGCAAAATGTCTACCAAACCATAATTATTTAAATAACCCGCATTTTTTGTAGATAATTTCTCACATGTTACGTTGTATAAAAATGAGATCTTTATTTTTATATCCTTAGCATAAGCATGTTTCAATTCTATTATTAAGAAGGAGAAAACTTTGAGAAATAATTGACGTATCTTCAACTATATACATAGAATGCTCCTCATACATATTCTTTATAAACGATAACACTCTACATGGAGTTTTCTTCAACATATTTCAATTTATATAAGTATATTTAGCTATAACAAATTAGACATAAAAGTGTTTTATGGAGTGTATATAAATTAGAATAGTATTTTAAATATATAAAATACTTTATACATGCTTAGTAATACAGACTTCAGGCTAAGCTTTTAAACAGGCCAGACTCGGGCCAAAAAGTAGACCTTTAACAGGTAATAGGCCAAACTTAGGCCTAAACATACTAAAATAGGCCTGACATGTTGCAAAGGCCTGGCCTGGCATGACCTGTTTCCAGCCCTAATATTAGCAATGTCTAGTACAAATCTATATTTAACTTGAGCATTGGAGAGGCGTTCCATTGCAGTGTTTACATAATCCATGGGGACAACCTCTACATCCGGTGTTATGTTGTTCTCGGCCGAAAAATCTAGCATTTCTTGTGTCTCTTTAATTCCACCAACAGCGCTACCCGCAATAAGTTTCCTACCTGGTGTATCAATAATAAATCCAATAACAATTCCGTTTAATTAACTTATGGAAAAGTGTCAAATAAGCCTTCCTACTATTATGAAGAATTTAATTGGACCCCTCTTCCAACTCAAATATCACCTAATTAAACCCACAAACAACTAAAAAGGAGGCAAATTGTCTTTGGTATACTCCAGATTCCAAGTTAAATCGTTTGTGTGACATATTAGGTTGCATTTTTTCGTTTTCTTTTAGGCAGTGTAAAATCAGACCTACTACTATTATGAAAAAGTCAATTAGACTCCAACTCAAATATTAACGGATTAAACCCACAAACAACTAAAAAGGAGGCAAATAGTCTTTGGTATACTCCACCTCCAAGTTTCACTCCTGCACCTAGCATTCACTTTGGATCCCCTTTCCTCCAAAATCTACGCACCGCAGCAGCCTTGCCGGAGTCTTGCAATAACCAGAGAAGAAGGCGGCGGGCTGGTGGTCGTCGTCCTAACCGCTGAACCATTCTGTTCAACGTCTTCCGCTCTGCCACCGAGTTCCATTCTTGCACTGCTTTTCCGTCGCCAGAAATTCCTGAAGAAAGACGCCGAGCACCTTTGGTCTCACTCATAAGAAAGTGAATGGGTGTAGGAGGAAGAAAGAAATCTTAGGAAAGGGAAAAGAAAAAAAAGAGAAAAAATAAAAGATGCAACGTGGCGCAACATAAACATGTTTACCCGGATAACTGCCGGTTAACCTATTAAAAAACTGATTTAAACTCATTTTTAGAAGGTAGATTCTATGGTACCTTTAAGGTATCATACATTTGTCCACGTGGACCAATCAGAATACTACAATTGAATTATTTAAATGTAAATTAAAAATGATATAATGATTTGGACCAATCAAGTGATTGGTAGGTACGATACCCCAATTTTTAAATAGGTACCGGAGTTGTCACCTTTTTAGAATTAGGATATGTAATTGAGTGATATTTGACTTGGGGGGATTATTTGACACTTTTCCCATTATAATTATATTATTACCTGGTCTCTAGTATTAAGATTGGCCTATGGGGCTTGAAATATTAAGAGAAATTGTAATTGGGGTATATACGTAGTACATAGTACTCCCTCCTCTATATGTTTTATTCCTATTTTAGGAAACCTGCAAAGGATATACATACGTGCGATCAAAGGAAGGGCAGGCAATTCAAGTGGTTTTTCTGGAACTCCAACCAAGACAAGCTTTCCATCTCCTTTCAATAAAGAGAGTAGCGGCACAAGAGGGTGAACTGCAGAAACCGTGTCTATAATGCCATCTAATGTGTTTGCAGCCGCCTATACACACAACAATTAATAGATGATTGTTTACAGAATACAGATCAAGAAGTTTAATCACTCATCTTAATAATGGCAGGATATATTTTAATTTGCAAACCTGCATTTCGTCTGGGTTTCGGCTGATCAAGAATGAGTCCGCGCGAAGACGATCAATGGCTTCCTGTTTTTTACCAGCAGAGGTGCTGATCACAGTAACTTTGCATCCGAAAGCCTTAGCGAACTTCACAGCCATATGGCCAAGGCCACCCAGCCCCACCACTCCGATGTGCATTCCCGGCTTGTCGAGTCCGAAGTATCTCAAAGGGCTATACGTTGTGATCCCGGCACACAGCAGAGGAGCCGCCTCCATCGGCAAATTTTCCGGCCAGCGGAGCACAAAGTGCTCGTCGGCGACCATGATGTCTGAGTAACCACCGTGTGTGGTGGTGCCGGCAGCATTGTATGTTACAACGCCATCAGGGCAGTAATTTTCTAAGTGGCTGGCACAGCTTTCGCACTTGCGACATGAATCGACAAAACATCCCACACCCACTTTGTCGCCGACCTGAAATTTCTGCACCTTGCCCCCCACCTCAGTCACAACACCAACGATCTCATGCCTGCGCCCGATCCATAAGCGGTTCAGTAGAAGAAGTTAAGGAAGAACTGAACGTGATAATCTAAGATTGAAAACTGATGTTACCCAGGAACAAGAGGATATGAACTGAAACCCCATTCATTCTTTAGCTGGTGAAGATCTGAATGGCAAATTCCACAGTACATCACCTTGAATTGCACATCCTTCTTGTTGGTCAAAGCCTAGTCTTTTATTTAAAACTTGTTTTATAATATCTGCATGTTTCATTTAGTCAGTTTTGTTTCTTTTGTAGTTACGTAGGCATTGAACTTGTCAAACGAACATGCATACGTATAGGAGTAGTGGTTGCTATTTTTCCTCAACTACTTGCCCCATTCTCGAGTTGTATATAGTAAGAGGTGGGGCTGGAGGTTTTTTCATCCAATTGCACTTTGGGGTTTTCCTCCGTATAACAAAAGTAAATGAAACAAGTTGTTGTGTGATCCTCGTATTGTTTTGCTTTGTATACTGTGTGTGTGTGTGTTCATAACTGTGTTGCAACCTGGGCTAAACATTCTACACGTGGTATCAGAGCAAGGTTATACTCAATCATGAGTATCGCTTCATCTGAGAGTGAAGATGGAAACGTTGGAGACACACACCATAGCGATGACAGGGTGAGGATCCAAGATAAGGAGGGATCAGTCACTTTGAAATACCCTATGCTGACAAGGACCAACTACGCAGCCTGGGCTATCAAGATGGAAGTCTTCATGATAGCCCAAGGAGTTTGGGATGCAGTAGAGTCCTCAGAACCAGTTGATAATAGAAGGGATAAGATGGCCCTAGCAGCTATTTATAAAGGCATAGGAGAGGATACATTGTTGCAGTTAGGAGCAAAACGAACTGCCAAGGAGGCTTGGACCATGCTTAAAACAATGAATCTAGGTGCTGAAAGGGTCAAGGAAGTTAGGACTCAAGCACTATGGAGGGAATTTGATGGAATGCAGATGCATGATGGTGAAAATGTTGATGAGTTTGTAGGAAAACTACAAATGGTGGTGACCAAGTTAAGAGGGCTTGGTAATGTTGTTGAAGAAGAGAAAGTGGTGAAGAAACTTCTCAGAGCAGCACCACCAAAACTCTTACAGATTGCATCTATAATTGAAGAATTCAGTGATCTGAAGGTTAAAACTACAGAAGAAATCATTGGTTCATTTAAGGCTCATGAGGAAAGAATGAAAGTTCCTCATGTGGAAGAAGGAGAAACTGTGTTGTTGTCTAGAGCAGAATGGGAGAACTTCAAATCACAAACCAGGAGCAGTAGAGATCCAACTACCTCAAGAGGAAGAGGTAGAGGTCGTGGCAGAGGGAGAGGAAGTGCAGGCTTACATGGAGAAAAGGAAGAATCCAAACAGAAGAAAAAATTTGACAAATCCAAAATAAAATGTTATGCCTGTGGAAAGATGGGCCATTTTGCATCTGAATGTCAATCTGATAATCAAGAAGAAGAAGTCCACTTGGCTGAAGATGATGAATCAGAACAGCCCTCTTTGATGATGATTGAGATTTGTGAGCTGACCAAATCCCACAACTCACAGAATGCAGACAGTTTGCATGGTAAGGGAAAAGAGGACACTACAGAATCCTGGTGGTACTTGGACACAGGGGCAAGCAACCATATGACAGGTAACATAGGTTACTTCTCAGAACTTGATACATCTGTACATGGAAATGTTAGGTTTGGAGGTAATTCTATGATAGATATACAAGGGCAGGGGACTGTGTTATTTCAATGTAAGAATGGGGAACACATGATCTTGTCCAATGTATACTTCATACCGAAGTTAAGAAGCAATATCATAAGTCTAGGACAACTTGATGAATCTGGGAGTGAAGTTGTTATAAAGGAAGGAACACTGAAGATCTATGATGAGTCAAACAAGCTCATGATCAAAGTACAAAGAAGACACAACAAACTGTTTACAGTGAATATGAAAATTGCTCAGAAGATATGCTTATTGACAAGCATAGAAAGTCAAAGCTGGTTATGGCATGCTAGGTATGGACATCTTAACTTTCAGGCACTAAAGAAGCTTACCAGTCAAAAGATGGTAGAAGGTATGCCTGAAATCACTCAAAGCAATCAAGTCTGTGATGGTTGTATGATAGGAAAGCAACACAGAACAAGATTTCCTCAGAATGCAGTGTTCAGAGCAAAGGAGAAGCTTGAATTGGTTCATGGAGACTTATGTGGACCAATCACGCCACCTACACCTGGAGGAAATAGTTACTTTATGCTCTTAGTAGATGACTATTCACGCTATATGTGGATATCATTGCTAAAGCATAAGAGTAAGGCATTTGAGGCATTCAGAAAGCTAAAGCAAAAGATGGAAAATGATGCAAATAAGAAGCTGAGATGCCTGAGGACTGATAGGGGAGGTGAATTTAACTCTCAAGAGTTCAAAAGCTTCTGTGAGAATGCAGGAGTAACAAGGCAACTGACTGCACCATACTCACCTCAACAAAATGGGGTGGTGGAGAGGAGAAACCAAACTGTCATGGAAATGACAAGGAGTTTAATGAAAAGCAAGTGCATGCCTGCAAAGTACTGGGGAGAAGGAGTCAATATCTCAGTATATCTGCTGAATAGGGCTCCAACTAAAAGTGTAGAGGGTATGACACCCTATCAAGCTTGGCATGGCAAGACTCCAAATATAAAGCACCTGCGTGTGTTTGGATGTTTGGCACATGTTAAGATTGTAAAACCATATCTTAACAAGCTAGATGATAGGAGTATCAAGGCTGTTTTACTTGGTTATGAGGAGGGGTCCAAAGCCTATAGGCTGCTAGATCCAATCAAAGAAAGAATTCTAGTAAGCAGAGATGTGAAGTTTGAAGAAGATAAAGGTTGGAGTTGGGAAAGAAAAGAAGACAGACATGAAGGGGAGGATAAAGATATGTTCACAGCTCATGTGAATGGAAAGGAACAAAATGAGGGGATGAACCCCTCAACACCAAGCTCAGGGAATGAACAAGGAGACAATGTGTTTCCCTCACATGAGTCTTCTGTGAATACACCCAGATCCCACACTAGTACCAACTCAAGTGAAGGACCTCTACATTTCAGATCCCTTCAGGAGATCTATGATGCAACTAGGGAAGAGAATGAGGAACTGAGTTTGTGTTTTCTGTCTATAGAAAAGCCAAGTAATTATTCAGAAGCTGCAGGTCAGGAGGAGTGGAGACAGGCAATGGCACTTGAAATTGACTCCATTCAGAAAAATGGAACTTGGGAGATGACAGATCTACCAAACAAACACAAGGCCATAGGTTTGAAATGGGTCTACAAGTTGAAGAAAGATCCAGAGGGCAACATCATAAAACATAAGGCCAGACCGGTGGCAAAAGGCTACATACAGAAATATGGAGTGGACTACACTGAAGTATTTGCACCAGTGGCTAGAATAGAGACAATCAGAACTCTATTGGCCCTTGCAGCCCACAAGGAGTGGGAAGTTCATCATCTAGATGTGAAAACAGCATTCCTTAATGGAGAGCTAAAAGAGGAGGTGTATGTAATGCAACCAGAAGGTTTCATTGATCAGAGGAATCCAAAGAAGGTGTTAAAGCTACATAAGGCCCTGTATGGACTCAAGCAAGCTCCTAGGGCTTGGAATGAAAAACTTGACAAATGCTTGAAGGCATTAGGATTCAAGAAATGCATGTTTGAATATGCAGTGTATATGAAGAGAACTGGAGAGTATATCACAATTATTGGAGTATATGTTGATGACATAATCCTCACAGGATCATGTTCTAAGCTCATCAAAGCATTCAAGGAAGAGATGATGGGGCAGTTTGAGATGAGTGATTTGGGGCTTCTATGCTACTATCTGGGCATAGAAGTAAAACAAAGCAAGGAGGCTGTCAGTTTATGCCAATCAGGTTATGCAAAGAAGATATTGGAGAAAATGGGGATGAGTAGCTGTAATCCATGTAGCACTCCCATGGAGCCAAGGTGCAAGTTAAGCAAGTATGATGGGGAACTTACTGTGGATCCTACTCTATACAGAAGCATCATTGGGAGTCTAAGGTACCTTATTAACACACGACCTGATCTTGCTTATTCAGTTGGAATAGTGAGCAGGTACATGGAGGCACCCTCTATCACACATATGAATGCTATCAAACAAATACTAAGGTATGTGAAGGGTACAGTTAATCTGGGGTGTGTGTACAAAAAGGGGAAAGGAAACAAAGGGTTGATAGGCTACTGTGATAGTGACTTAGCAGGAGATGTGGATGACCGGAAGAGCACCACTGGAATACTATATTTCTTGGGTGACAGTCCTATCACATGGGTGTCACAAAAGCAAAGAATTGTGGCTCTATCATCCTGTGAGGCAGAATACATTGCAGGAACTGGAGGTGCATGTCAAGGCATTTGGCTTATGAAATTGTTGGAAAGCTTGGAAGGGAAGGTGAGTGATGAATCAGTCCTGAAAATTGACAACAAATCTGCCATTGCCTTGGCTAAGAACCCGGTCTATCATGATAGAAGTAAACACATTGATACACGTTTTCACTTCATTCGTGAATGTGTTGAAAGAGGGACTATAAAACTTGAGTATACTAAGACGGAAACTCAGCTCGCAGACATCTTAACTAAGGCACTTGGGAAACAAAGGTTCATTGAGTTAAGGAGCAGGATTGGGATGAAGAACATCATGGACTAAATGAAAACAAGTTTAAGGGGGTGAGTGTTGGTCAAAGCCTTGTCTTTTATTTTAAACTTGTTTTATAATATCTGCATGTTTCATTTAGTCAGTTTTGTTTCTTTTGTAGTTACGTAGGCATTGAACTTGTCAAACGAACATGCATACGTATAGGAGTAGTGGTTGCTATTTTTCCTCAACTACTTGCCCCATTCTCGAGTTGTATATAGTAAGAGGTGGGGCTGGAGGTTTTTTCATCCAATTGCACTTTGGGTTTTTCCTCCGTATAACAAAAGTAAAGAAACAGGTTGTTGTGTGATCCTCGTATTGTTTTGCTTCGTATACTGTGTGTGCGTGTGTGTTCATAACTGTGTTGCAACCTGGGCTAAACATTCTACACTTCTCCCCTGTTTCCCTACTCGCATTTGAAAATGCCAATATAAGTAGTAGGTATTCATTAAAAATATGAATACGTTGCAGAACATATAGATGGTCGGTCTGACATATAAATACCTCCTAGAAAAGTTGAAAGGAGAAAGAAGACCCGAGGAATCCCTGGCTGCCCATCCAAAGGCCTTCACCTGAAGCTCTGTTTCATTTGAGTTTGCTGTCATTTCGGTAGTGATAAGAAATCTTCAGAAATCACAACAAACAAGAGAAAAAGTGTACGTATAACTCTATGCAGGTCGAGAATGGAATGGTTTAGTAGGGCAGTTATATGGTGAGAAGTCGTTGAGCCGATGACGTATGCCCTGAGGTGGAAAGTCAATTGGCGAACGTAAGCGCTTTTAGCTAAGCACAAGTCCGAAGATGGATTAGTTAAACTTCTGGGTGGGGAGTGCCTTTACTTTCTATACGGTTTTGGTACATCACACGCATGCCATATTCCCTTATTCGTGTTGGCCAAATTGATTTTTTGATCATATTCATTTTATTCATTTAATTATGATATCAATTCTAAATGAAATTTTAATTTTGTTTTTGCAACTTTATTGAAATTTTAATGTGATTTTTGATTATGCAAATTTTAATTATTAAAGGTGAACTAATAATTGAAATCTAGTCTTGAACTCCGGCGTTGCTCCGAGTGGTGTTTGTATCATATGTGGTTTTATTTTATAACTGTAAATGATTTTTAAAACTTATGGTTTTGGCAACCATGGGTGAGAGGCAAAATTGGCGTAACCCCTCTATTCTTGATATACAAATTATGCAAATGATATCATCATGATTCAAACAATGTTCCAAATTCCATATATTATAATTAATTAGACATTTCTTACTATAAATGGAAATGAAAATTCTTCTCCGAGAAAATACATATGTGTCTTAGGGTTAAGTAAACTTGCATGTGTATTTATCTAGATATCTAAATGTTAAAAAAACTAAATACTTTTGTTTTATCCAACCATTACATTTGTTATTAGAGATCGGGGCCGGTCCTGTCCAATTTTGGGCCTATTAGCGATATACTATTTTGAAATTATTTCCAAGACAAACAGGAAATTATACTTACTTAAAGTAAAAATTATTACGGAGTATAATAAAACTATGAGAAATTACTCTAAGCAAGACTAAAAACGTGTCTATATTCCAAACTAAGATTATCATATTTTATTACCTAAATAGAAGTAATTACTGCCATATTTTGACAGTATCGTACTTTACACATGGTAGTATTTTTCGAACATGACATTAATTACTCTTATTCAGAAAATAAACACATATTATTTCAAGAATTCCCCCTACAACTATCTAATAAAGGTTATAAAATAAAGATGAAATTCACCTTCATATTATTTGAAATACATATTTGGACAAAAGTAACAACACACGTGTCACAAAAAAAACATTGTGAAGTAAAATCATCATTAATTGCTCTATAATCAATCTTTTCCAATATCACATGTGCAATGTTTAAAATTGCTAATCCATTAAGTTTTTTGAGGCATAATAGATAATTGGGATGATGTTTGAGAATTGGGAGGCGCTGGCAGTCCAAAGACAATAACATCAATTGGTAATTTTGTAATAAAAAAGAATAAAAAGTCTTAAAGGCTAAAAAGATGTGAAAAGACGTGATTTTATTGATTCAAAAACAAATGTGTTGACTGACAACCAACTCTATTTAAAAATCATAAAACTAAATTTATATTATTTTTTAAAACTTGTCTAACTCTGTTCAAGACTTCTTACTTATGTTTTAAAATTTTCAAATTGTCAACAAAAATTACACATTAGGCCTAATTAATTAATTGAAATTATAAATAAAAAAGAAGCCTACTCAGATTTCATATAAAGAGAAAAATTTGGGCCTAGTTTTCTTTCTACTTTTTTTCGAGCCTAGGGCGGTCGCCCCTGCTGCCCTACCCCTAGGACCAGCCCTGTTAGAGATTAACACATGTATGACTACTCATCACAACATATTACTATTTGATGTACCTTTTGAATTATATGGGGAGAATGCGTAAACCTAAATATCAAGGGGATTTCACACAATAAATCTAAAGTATATATGACAATTTAATTAGTTTGGTCATTTTTCATTATAGCCTATTAAGACTCACATAATTACAATCTGTATTTTATTGGTGCTTTTGAAATGGTTTGTGTGCGCTTCATTCAAAGTGCACAAATTTGATCATTATTGAATTTAAATATTCCAACTTCTTTAATATGTGCAAAGTCATCAATCACATCTTAACTTGTATGTTTTAAATAAATATCATGAACATTTATCCTATATATGATTTCATAACCATGATCATCTATTTATTTCAAAATTTCATTCACAGTGGTGATAGTAAGAAGTTTAGGAAATTTAGTGTCTGCTTGGTGATCGAGCTCTTTTTTTATTATGAAATTATCTCATGATCTTATATATAATATATAAATAAAACAATTCGAGTATATATTTTTTGATATTTTTTCTATTAAAAGACTAATGACCCGTTTTACCTAACATTGTACACGGTTATCTAATTACCTATTGGGATGTGTACTATGCGATCAAAAATTATCCATTGAATAATGAAGTGATTAGAGTACGAGAAACTACCTCATAGAGGTGACTGGTTAGGGAGGCGAACGACGGTCTAGACGGGGCGAGCAGAGAAGACAGATGTGCGGCTGAGTGATGGCTGAGGGAGAGGCCGCGAGCTGCTTCATGTTTTGTTTCGTCGGCGTTGCAGCTCAACGTTTAGCCTAGGCCTATCTCAGACCGTTTTCTAATTTTTTTGGTATGAATAGCATCCAATTTGATTTTTCTTTTGTTGTTTAGGTGTATGTGTTGTCCTGTTGTGCCTCTTTCTCGGGCATCGGTGCAACAATGTGGTTTTTCTCCCTCGTCATGGGGAGAGATTTGGTGTCTCCGCCAGTTTTGCCTTGTCGAGGGATTCTATCTATCTTCTTACGGGCTGTGTAGAGTATGACATTAGTATCAAGATTGATTTTGAGTCCACATATATGTGGCCACTATTTAGAACGAAGCCGGAACAGAAAGCTATTTTTCATCTATATTGTAACAGCTCGTTCTCCTCTGGAACCACCTCCTTTTTCAGGAAGAGATTTTTGTAAATGCATTATTTCATTATTATTTTTTCTTTAATGCTCCGTATTACTTTTTTTTTATTGTAGGTCAAGTATGTGTGGTTGGGATTTTTGGATACTAGGAAAATGTTTGATTGCTAGTGCTTCGGTTTCGGTCGTTTTACGCTTCAATTTGCCCGTTTTGTGTCTATCTGGTCAGTTTGCTTTGTATAAGGCAACTCTGGCTCTATGTATGTTTCTAGGGCTTCCGATCGGATCTTAAATAGTTGTATAGAGGTTGTCTTACATATCTTTTCTATATGAATATAAGTCGTTTATCATTAAAAAAGTCTTGTGACTTGATGAATTGTAAAAATTCATCATTGTCTATGCTCAATAAATGTCTAAGAGTTGTTTTTGGAGCTCGTATGAGCGGTGGTTCATTCCGTAGTGTCTCTAGGGTTCTTACTATTCTGTTAGTTTTGAGAGTCACTTTATGAGTAGTTTCTGCTCAAATTATTAATAATGCTAGTTGCTACAATATGGTATACTGATATTTAATTGTGATAGAAGACATTCTTCCAGTTGTAGATATGTTTTTCTCAAATGTCATCTTTTTTCTCAAATCATTTATGACACTATTGATCGCTCGTCCCCCTTTTTAACCACCACCATTGATCGGAAACTAAGGGTGACTCTATATTTCTATCAGACTGATATATTTCGGATTGGAATAAATGTCATTGGTGTTATGTTGGGCACAATGTGTACTGTCTACAAGTCCAATAACGGAATCAGTCGAGGGCGCTACAGTTACATGCATGATTGTACATTGATGGCTAGTTTCAACTGTGTTTACAATTTCGCTAATGTATGCACTTTTAATTATTTGTTGTTATTTTGTTTTTTTATAGAAAAATTGTTGGTTTTTCATACCAAGATAGAAGAATAGAGATTGACATGATCAAATTAAGCTTCCATTTGTCGATTATCGTACCGTGTTAGTGATTTTTGTGGCTCACTTGTATGTGACAAAGTCTAAGTCTAATCGTTGGGCTTCTGATTGGGGCTGATATTACTTTGAGTCTATTGTAATGATCTTTAATTAATTAGTTCAAGACTTCGAGTACGTATAAGCGATTTTCGTTTAAAAAAGTCTTGTGACATGATGTTCTCATATCTAATCTAACGACATTATATTACCTTGATTTGTGTCAATTCATTTATCATAAAAAATTGTACATTACGCTTAGAAAATGATACCTAACTTTTGAAATGACTTTAATAACCCTACACCTTTAAACTTCCGTTGCTTCATTATTTTGAGCGCTTTCGTTACTTCATTTGTGAAGAGAAACAAGGGTTATTATATATTTGACATTTCATGGGCGAATTACTTATATTAACAAGTACGTACTTTTAAGGGAAAATCGTACTTTTAGTCCTTGAAATAATCACTATATTGAAATGCCAGACTCATATTTTTGAGATTGTAATGTTCACCCCCTCAGTTGTCCAAATTGATGTCAATGTCGTCCTTTGAGGGGTGAAATGTAATCTTCGCCCACATTATACATTTCACCCCTCAAAGGACCACATTTACAACAATTTGGACAATTGAGGGGTGCCATTTACAAATTTGGAAACACGGGTCCAGCATTTCAATATGGTGACTATTTCAGGGACTAAACGTGTGATTTTCTCTACTTTTAATATAAGAAATTCATGACATTTAGATATGTAATGTATGAATTTTAAATAATTTACTGAAGAGGATCATTTAAGAGTTATTTTTCATATAATTTTAATTTTATTTTATCAATATGATATATATTAAATATTTTTCCATAAATTAGCATAATCAGTCGAATCAAACAGAATTTCATAATTTTCAGCACTTTTTGTTCGGCATAGATTTAAGCACGTCATTCATTACTGTTTATATGCACTTACTAGTACTGTGTGATGCACTTTCTAAACACAACACTATATCCTCAAACAAATATCACAAAACTCATTTTAGCAATGCAGTATATGCACTTATAATCACAAGTTCATTCATTTTCGACGTAAATACTACATAATGCACTTTTTCTTCAGCAAAGATTTAATAACTTTGGGCACTCTCTGTTTATATGCACTTACTAGCAGTACGTGATG